AAACAACTTCATCAAATTAACTGGCTGTCTCTGAAAAGTTTCCAGCCAGACCGATCATATTGTGTGTTGTGATTCGGAAAATGCAAAAGAATAGATGGTACGATGCGAAGTGCCGTGTCGGAGCGGAGATAAAACAGAGACTGCCTACCTTACAACGTTACAATCGATCACAACACATGCGGGATGGGATAGATACCAAGAGTAGAAGAGGAAAGCCAGACGCATTTGCAGACAGAAAAAGAAAGAAGCCGAAATGCGTGAGTACGAAGAGCTTGATAAACTGTCCGTCAGGGGTAATGCTCGAAAATTCTACGAAAAAATGCGGCGCCTTACAGAATTTTTCAAGACCGGAGCATACTCTTGTAGAACACCCAAAGATGATCTAGTAACCGTTGCCCAGAGCATACTTAAATTATAGAGGGAACACTTCTCCAGCCTGCAGAATGGCAGCGAACGCACAACGCTAGGAGAAGGCGAGMCCGATTCCCCAATCGATGACGATGGAGCAGACGTTCCGTTGCCCGACCATRAAGAAGTTCGAATAGCAGTTACCCGCCTGAAGAAGATTAAAGTCCACCGTCAACTAACTGATTGAACCTTATCAGTGTGGCTTTAGACCTGGCGAATCAACAACCGACCAGATATTCAACATGTGCCAAATCTTGGAAAAGACCCGTGAAAGGAAAATCGACACACACCACCGACAGCACGAAAAGGAGCTGYCTTTATGCCGCGATGTCTGAATTTGGTATCCCCGCAAAACTAATACGACTGTGCAAGCTGACGTTGAGCAACACCAAAAGCTCCGTCAGAATCGGGTAGGACCTCTCCGAGCCGTTCGATACCAAACGAGGTTTCAGACAAGGCGATTCCCTATCATGCGACTTCTTCAACCTGCTTCTGGGGAAAATAGTTCGTGCTGCAGAACTAAATAGAAAAGGTACCATCTTCTATAAGAGTGTTCAGTTGCTGCGTATGTCGATGATATTGATATCATCGGCCTCAACACCCGCGCCGTTAGTTCTGCTTTCTTCAGACTGGACAAGGAAGCAAAACAAATGGGTCTGGCAGTGATCGAGGGCAAGACGAAATATCTCCTGTCATCAAATAAGCAGTCGTCGCACTCGCGACTTGGCACTCACGCCACTGTTGACAGAGTCCGTTGTGGTTTAACATGAGTTCCTGCCTGCGAAGGCCTAACCCCACGGTGCTTTCTRYTGCTRGAAGCACATAGATCAAAACAATGCGTTGATCAGCGCCCCAAAGCAYRAGTGCATGCACCTGCACCATACTCTGGAGAACCAAAGCATGATTGCCGCCACATACACTTATACTTTGGTTGCAATTGGTTTGGGTGGACAAGCACACCCTAGCCACCTTGGTCGGGTACGAGGCCCTTCTAAMACCTCTGCCGTACTCTGGGTCCGGCACCCGGCCGCAGTGCCACTCCACACCGGACTAATGGCCYTCCTGCATTTAGGTTTAAACCACAGCCACCACGAATCTCCACAAAGGGCCAAAAACCCAATGAGCAGATCGGARTTTCCTCCAAGGGCTGACTGCCCCCGTGGTACCATGTTTTAGTCTTTAGTATGACTTGTAGCTTGCGCTACTGCCAGTTGAGCCCCCAAGAATTCCTAAGAACCCTTAAGAACTCAACTRTATAAKGACATGTGTCTCGTAAATTCGTAAACGAAATCGTAAACGAAAATACGGTCGAATATCAGGAATAAAAAAATACAGAGTACAGTAACCATGTTTTTACGATGAATACTATAGCACTGTATCTGACATGGACTATGCTGAAATTCAAGGCAAGAACAGAATGACAGACACAGCGCATRCGGAATTTTAGTCGCCTCTTACGACAGGYATGCCTTACCACGGGTATATTCGGTTTCCCCCCAACCCGKAGGGGGCCCCCCTACCCACAGGGGGAACAGCCACTGTTGACAGTCATGACTTTGAAGTCGTAGATAATTTCGTCTATCTTGGAACCAGCGTAAACACAACCAACAATATCAGCCTGGAAATCCAACGCAGGATAACTCTTGCCAACAGGTGCTACTTCGGACTGAGCAGGCAATTRAGAAGCAAAGTCCTCYCTCGACAAACAAAAACCAAACTCTATTAGTCACTCACTCAGGCTAGGACGATGTCAACAACTGATGAGTCGACATTGCGAGTTTTCGAGAGAAAAGTTCTACGAAAGATTTATGGTCCTTTGCGCGTTGGCCACGGCGAATATCGCATTCGATGGAACGATGAGCTGTATGAGATATGTATATGACGACATTGACATAGTTCGGCGAATTAAAATACAGCGGCTACGCTGGCTRGGTCATGTTGTCCGAATGGACGAAAACACTCTAGCTCCCAAAGTATTCGACGCTGTACCCGCCGGGGGTGGAAGACCTTCACTCCGTTGGAAGGACCAGGCGGAGAAGGACCTGGCTACGCTTGGAATATCCAATTGGCACCACGTAGCGAAAGGAAGAAACGATTGGCGCACTGTTATTAACTCGGCTATAATCGCGTAAGCGGTGTCTACTCCAATTATGAAGAAGCAGTTATACGAGACAWGTGACGTTTCCTAAAAGTGGGAGTACCAGATCCATCGCCCAATTTTGATACCCTCTTCTATATGTTGTCTATGTAGTCTTGTGATATCCTGGACGTAAATTTTTATGCATCTGACGTATTTAGTTACTGATTTATCTCACTTTTATTACACAAAACCGTTATATGGTGAAAGGGCCGGAGTTATCATTAGATATTTTCACACTTTCGTAAGAAGGGTTGAAAGAATTGGTCCTGTGCACATGTGGATTATATGGTGTCCCTCTTTAATGTTATTCTTTGTGCCAACTTTGAATTCTGTGTAAAATTTTCGGCTTAGTAAATTTTCGATTAATAGCGTTTTGTGGACGTGGCAGTGGTCCGATTACGTCTATCTTGACCTGTTACCAAGGAACATGTGTACCAACTTTCAATAAGATATCTCAATTTTTACTCAAGCTATCGCTATCACGAACGGGCAGTCGCTCGGAACTCAACTCATCTCGTCATCCTGATCACTTATATTTGTCTCGATTAGTTTTAGGTGATACGTACATTAGG